GTGGGTATCAAGAGGCTTGTATCAGATGACGACAATTACTTAGTAGATTTGATATGTGCTGAGATGCTACATAATTTGGAAAACGTGGCAAGAGTTGTGACCAGACTTGCAAAAAAATGCAGTGATCCCCTTTTAAAATGCTTCGAGCGTGCATATGATGATTTGATCAAGTCGGGTGTCGACCAGTATCACTGGCAGTTAACTTGGAAGAAGATGAACAAGAAAGTCAAAAAGATGGAAAAGTTTGTTTTTGTGAATGCGAATTTGTATCAGGAAATGGAAACCCTCACAGAGCTTGAACAAATCCTGAGGAGAATGAAGAGCAACGATGACCAAGATAGCATAACTTTGGTCGAGTATATGAAGAAATTGGCATGGAAGCAGCAAGAAGTCAAACGGCTGAAAGAGATATCTTTGTGGAACCGGACTCATGATTATGTGGTTCTCCTTCTGGCAAGGTCCATATTCACTATTTTCAATAGGATTGGGCATGTATTCGGAATGAATCACATTTTACCTCTGTCAACGGACTACTCTGATTCCCTAGATTCTGATCATATCTACCGCAGCCAATCTGTATCGGCATTGCTTCAGTCTTCCATTCACCCGTCTGAGAATGGGCTTGCCAGGTTCTCATCCGGTCCCTTGGGAAACATAATTTCTAGATCTGGCCCAATATCAAGAACAAATAACTATAACAACTTCTATTCTGGTCCACTTGGTAATTCAATCACGGTTTCTGGTCCTATTTCTGGTAAACATCGAAACATGAACTCTTATTCTGGTCCTATCGGGAAGTCAACATCAAAGTCAGGCCCTCTATCTCGTGCTGCTAAAACCGGGCTCAAATTGTGGCATAAACATGGGAATTCGTCAAACATCCATGGATCAAAGAGTGCTACACCAAATCGGTTGAGTACCACTGGACCTTTCAAAGGATGTATGCTGGGTGGAAATGGTTCTCCTGTGAAGAATTGCCATATTAATCCAAACGCTGCTTGTTCTACAACCCCACATAGGATTGAAGAATCTGAGGTCGAACATCATACTGTTAGTAGTTCTAAACAGAAAATCTTTGATGCTCCTCCAGAAACTCTTGGTGCTGCTGCTTTAGCACTGCACTACGCTAATGTTGTTATCGTACTTGAGAAACTTGTGGCCTCTCCCCACTTAATCGGTCATGATGCAAGAGATGATCTGTACAATATGTTACCAAAAACCATTAGAAGCGCTCTCAGAGTGCGGTTAAAACCATACGCGAAGAGCTTGGCTTCATCAGATTACGATACAGCTTTGGCAGAAGAATGGAGTGAGGCAATATCGGCCACTTTAGAATGGTTATCCCCACTTGCTCATAGCATGATACGATGGCAATCGGAGAGGAGTTTTGAGCACCAAAATCTGCTTTCTAAGACGAACGTGCTTCTTGTGCAAACTCTCCACTATGCAAATCAAGAAAAGACCGAAGCCACAATAACTGAGCTTCTCGTTGGTCTCAACTACATTTGGAGATTNGAGCTTCTCGTTGGTCTCAACTACATTTGGAGATTTGGCAGAGAAGTGAATGCGAAAGCTGTTGGAATGTGAAAGTGGTGGATTAATCGATGATTCTTTAAATTTGGCAAGTTAGCAGCATGTTTTCAGCTTTCTGGCAATGACAAACAGCTCCCTTCCCAAAGGCATCGGGACCTGTTTCAGGAGCCGTTTGCGGGTAGAAGTTGAACCACCATCGCCTTTCTGATCAAGCCCGGTGATCACAATACTTGGGTCTCCCTCTCTCCTTCCTGTGGTCAAAAGGTACGGTTCGAAAAATCTAAAAGTAGTTGTTTCATCAAGCGACCTTTTGGCATAGAATTGATACGGTATTTGCTTGTTAGGTGGGTGTGTTATTGTGTAGATGTATAGGTAATGGTCAAATATTCTCTAGAGATTTGTGGATTTACAAAGTTCTTATAAAATATAACATGTTTGAAATTGAGCAGTTATCAAGCATTTATGGTAGTAAGACTTTGATTTGCTCTTATTGTTACCGATTCAAGTCCCTTCATGGTCACTAAGGTAGCATTTGGTATGCATATATGATTGGACTGGACTGGAATGGACAAGAGGATAAGACTGGACATGACTGGACTGAACATAAAAATGTCTGTCTGGTGTTTGGTACAACTAGGACCAGACATGACAGAACTAAACAAATTGGTCCCAAAAGTTATTTGATTATTTACATATCATACAATATTATAATTAAGACAAATGATGTAAATGATTAAATAATTTAATTTACAAACATTTTTACACAATTTTCATATACGTAAATACATACATATATAGTAGTAGCAAATTTGAATGAAATTTTCGATATAATTGATGGTGGTTCAAAAAACACCCGGTCCGTACAAAAGAAGAAATTATGTTTTATTGGGTTTGGAAGATTCTTATCAATGGGTGAATTCACGATGAAGATTGTTGGAACAACAATGGTTGTGGAGGCAAAGACATTGGTGATTGGTGGACTATGGTGGTTGTGGAGGACGTGAAGAGTGTGGATAGTGGTAGTGGTGGCGATCGATAGTGGGGAGCCGATGTGCTGGAGGTAGTGGCGGTGGTGGTCGATGGCCTACGATGGTTGTGGAGGACGTGAAGATAGTAGTAGAGGTAGTTGTGGGGGGCAATGGTATTGGTAGTCGATGGTGGTGATGGACAATGGTAGTGGTAGCCGATGGTGGTGGTGGTGATGGTGGTTATGGTGGAGGTGAGGTGGCCCACGATGGTAGTGGTGGTGGCGATGAATGGTAGTGGTTGGTGCCGACGGTGGTTGTGGAGGTGATGGAGGAGGTGAAGGTGAACGATGGTTGTGGTGGTGGCGATGGACGGTGGCCGAGTGATGGTTGTGGAGGTGATGATGGAAGGTGGTCGACGATGGTTGTGAAGGTGGTGGAGAAAGTTGTAGTAGAAAAGGCACTGTAAGTGGCTACCGGTGGTTAATCATACAATTATCCCTTACTAATCACACTCTACATTTTATGTATCATTTTTGTTTGTTTTCTTTTGGTATTTTTTTCTTTTTGTTGTCTTTTATTTTTATATTAATCCTCTTTTAATTAAAAATAGATTACTATTAAAAACATTATTTTCTATTCCGTAAATAAATTAATACTAATAATATTATTTTTTATAATAATTTCTATGAAAAATATCATATGTTTTCCATTCTTTTTTAGTATTTTTTTCTTAATAACTTTACTTTTTTCTACTAATTAAATTTTAAGAATATATATATATATATATATATATATATATATATAAGGATCCTTAAAAACATATTATCAAATTGCTATCACATTATTATCAACAACGAACGCATCAACGTAAAAGTCTCCGATGATAATAATAATAAAATTTAAGGGATAAAGATAAATCAAGGATAATGGAAAATTATGGATAAACACTAATTTATTTTCATTTATTCTAATTTTTATTATCAGTTAATTAATTTGGAGGCTTAGAAGTGTTTTCATATTTTCATAAAATGCGAGTGTTTTTGTTTGAACCTTTCCTTATACATACATAGGTGGAGGTTTAAACGAGAACCCCTGTGATTTACGAGAACGTGAAAACAACCCAATAACCTCAAATTTTTTAATAAATTAACTTATATCAAATATAAATAAATTAATAAGGACAGTAATGTAATTAAGTAATTTTATAAATTTTATTTTATCTTAATTAATTATAATTATCCTTTTTTTCCTGCATGTTCGTTTTCACTCTCTTCTATTTTCTTGTGATAATTGTGTGATTGTGTAACCATAACCTATCGAAACCATGATCAATCGAGTGTAACCATAACCTATCGAAACCATAAGTAATCATTGTGATAAATTTGTGATTGTCTAACCCTAACCGATCGAAACCATGATCAAATTAAGTGTGCAAGTGATGTTATAATAGTGATATCACATGATTATCACACTCATATCACACCTAATCGTTTTAGTTGTGATAAATGTGTGATTGTCTAATCCTAACCTATCGAAACCATCCAAAATCGTTGTGATAATGTCTAACCTAACCCATCGAAATCATGATTAAATCGAATGATATTGATATCACATAATTATCACACTCATATCACACAAAATCGTTTAATTGATTTCGTCAGTAATTCATTGTGATAAACTAATCCTAATCGAATGAGATACATTGAATAACGTGTGTTTCTTCTTCTTGTTGTTCGATTGTTGCATGCAAATGCTTCTTCTTGTTTGATGTTTGATTCCTGCGACTTTACGGCTTATTTGTTCGTTGATTTCTCCTTGAAATCTTAATCGATACCTAATAAAGATAAGGATAATCACTCTAATTTTGAGGATTATCATGTGATCGTGTAATCATGTTTAAGATTTTATAATATTGATTTCCATTATTACCCTTTTGAATCTCAATTTTTTTTTGAATCTTTTTAAATTTCAATTTCAATTTAAAAAATATTTTAATTTTAAATTTTATTTCAATATGAGGTAATTAAGTTGTTTTCGCATTTTCGTAAATCACAAAGGTTCTCGTTTGTTTTATGTATTTATTTGTTACCACAAAAAAAACGTTAAAATATAATACGATAACCTGTTATTCAGTTGTGAATAAACGAAACTACGTCTATTCTTTAGTTATCTTGTCCTTGAGACATGTGGCGTCCGAGCCAATGTGAATGGTCCTTATACCAACGAGAAAGAAGGTTGGGAAGCCGTGAAAATGTGAAATTTGTTGGGTGCGGAGTGCGGAGGGATCCACCCAAAATTAAAGTGGGCCTGCGCCAAATTCCTATAGGTTTGAGGTGGGTCAGGGTTCTGACGGGATGACATGTAACGTCGTGGATGAAGGTTAAAATGGTAACTACAACTCACTCAGGTCTCCGTCTCGTCCTTTGCATGATATTAAGGTGTGTTTTGTGTTTGTGCGAGATATATGCAACCCTTCATGTTGTGAAGTGAATCCCCTCTTATCCTTTAGGTTAAAATCAACTAATAATTTTTTTAAAGAATTTATGTCTAATAAATTTATATTTTATAATTTTTTTCAATGTTGTTTTTTAATATTATTTTTCTAAGTTTAAGTTTTATAATAAATTTTTGTTGATTGGTGGACTATGGTGGTTGTGGAGGTTTGTTAGGTGGGTGTGTTATTGTGTAGATGTATAGGTAATGGTCAAATATTCTCTAGAGATTTGTGGATTTACAAAGTTCTTATAAAATATAACA